GTATCCCAGGGATGATTTACAGGCAGCTCTGGAATCTCAGAACAGAACAAGCTCATCTCTTGTCCAGAGCAGCTCACGAAAGCAGCAGCAGCAGCAGCAAAAGGGTCTGGCTGGGAATCAACCAGTTTGCAGAAGGGCCTTTCCAAATTCGGCTTTCTGTGTGTTTAAAATCTGGACTAATTAAATGAGACCAAGGGTCACTGATTGGAGCTCTCACACTTTGGGACGGGGTGAAAGGCCCCATTTTGACAGTATTGCCATGATGAGTTCACTTAGAAAGGCTAAATGTAGATTTGTTTGCTTGACTTTCATCTCACCTTTATTAGTGTTTAGAAATAAACTCAAGGTGACAAACATGCCTAATATGTCTCTCTCCTCCTATTTTCCCCACAATAAACACCACTTGTGAGATAGGTTGGGCGGTCACCCAGCCAGCTTTCATACCCAAGATGGGACTAGAACTCACTGTCTCCTGGTGATTGGTCCAAAGTCACCCAGGTGGCTTCGTGACAAAGCTGGGACTAAAACTCAAAGTCTCTGTGTTTCTAGTCTCTGATACTTCAGCCACTACATCAAAGTGGCTCTTTGTGGCTCTTAGGGGACTAAGTACCATATAGAGATGATAATTTGGATAATCTGACAATTCAAATGGAGCCCTTGGCTCAAGAACTCTATTGAAGGTTTTCAAGCCACCTGTAGAGGAAGCAGAACACATATTTTGCTTTTTTAGGTCTATCTTAGATATGTAATTTCACTTCCTATTCACCCTGAAAACTTGCCCAGCCAGCAGTTCAGTGTTTCTCAACCTTGGCAACAATATGCTGGCTGGGGAATTCTGGGAGATGAAATCCGCACATCTTAAAGTTGCCAAGGTTGAGAAACACTGACTTAGCACAATGAAGGGCTGGCTTTAATGCCATAAATCTCCTTGCAAATACAAGAATTAAAGTAAGTACTCCTTTTTTTGTTCCTGAAAATCAGCTGTGACATGACGAAGAAATAATACTGCAGGACAGAAATACTTACTCCGTAAAACATTAATGTTTTAATGAAAAATCTTAGCATTGTGTTTCTATCACTCAAAACTAGTTTTTCTTCCTGCTCAATTTTGTCTTATAATGGGACCAATCGCTTTTTAAAAATTTTTGAAGGCTTTTTTTTTAAAGTTTAAACAACCAGGCTAGCAAAAAAAGGTACCCAATACATATTCATCTTATATCAAACAAGCTAATATTTCAGTACAAGGTAACTATACATAATATATACATTACACAGAGAATCACAAAAGCAAACACTACAGGCTCAGAACAAATCTTGAAAAAACCATGATATTCACATTGATTACAAGAACTCTAAAAATGATTGTAACAGTGAAACGGCACTTTAGTTTACAAAAAGTCACAAAAATATATATATTATATATATATATATAGCCACCAAGAACTATGGGTTCCTTAAAAATACTAATAGCCGGATATAGTATATAAAATGTAAAGTGTATTTCAACATTTAAAAAAAAAACCAAAACATTTGTCTTCCCATTAAGTCAATCAACATGCTAAGAAGCTTAGCTGCGGTCAGCGGGGAGGGGGGACTTTTCTGAATGAGATGTGGCTGGTGACCAAGGACTGGCACAGTTAAAGGGGAAGGTAGGCAAAGTCTCATGCTAGAATGGCCCTTTAGGAATTGATCCAGTCTTCTAACGACAGCTTTATCTCCCCCCCTTTACAGTTTTTGTAACAGCCCAGAGACAAGACAGACCTGCAGATGTTGGGCCAGGAAATACACTCTCTAGGGCAGTGGTTATCAACCTGTGGGTCGGGACCCATTTGGGGTCGAACGACCATTTCACGGGGGTCGCCAAACAATGCAGTCCGCCATTTCCCCCCCCCCTTTTCCTTAGCTGTGCTACTCCCTTTTATTCTATTGGCTTTTGAAAGCCAATAGAATAGACTCTCTTGAATAGAGTCTAATTCTATTGGCTTTCAAAAGCCAATAGGAATTGTCCAGGCTGTCTCTGCCCTCCTGAGCCCGCCAAAAGTCCCATTCTGCAAACGGTGCTGCACCAGTTGAGTAGTCCTTGACTTACGACCGGTTGGGGGTCGCGGCATTAAAAAGGTTGAGAACCACTGGGCTATAGTCAGAAAACCAGCAACATGCAGCATTATAGAGCAAATCAAACAACAGTGCCATCCATTTCAGAGGTCCCCAAACACTCCAGAAAAAGCAGCTGGAATACACTGATACAAATATGGAGAATTCAAAGAAAAAGAGCCAACTTTTAAAAGAATGCATTTTGCATTTTTAAAAATAATTGCATCTTTTAACATACCAATTGTATTCTTTGATCAGCCTGCCTACTTGCCAGCCAATGATAACTTGCAAAGTATGGTTAGGACCTAAGCAGGATTTTTAAAAAACGTGGTCTGGAGATTAGTGACTGAACAATATTTCATTTTGCCTTTATTAGAATCCGAAAAGTAAGGCTTGTCCTCAGCAGAAAATCAGCAAGCAAGAAAAGAAAAAGCTTGTTTGCCTTTAATGCCATTCAAATACTCCTGGTGGCCATGTTCTATAGACTTTAAGATGCCAGGATTCAGATTTAGCCCTCTGCCATCTTCAGGCTGGTGAGAAAAAAAAAATCAGTAACCCTCTCCCCACAAAAGAAAAGCAAACAAACAGGCCAACGCCCTTATTCAAAATTTTGCATTATTAAAAAAATACAATTTTAATCTCTTTGGGGACCTGGGGCCTAGGGACTATAGTTTTATAAAATATAATATATATATTTATATATTTTGCTACACCAGCACTGGTTACTTAAAAAAAAAAAGATTCACATTTACACTTTCCAGACAAATGATAAGTGCCCAAACTGGAACTATTCTTAAAGACATTAACTGTTGTATTTGCATTAGAACTGGGAGCGTAAGATTGGTCACTCTGAGGAAAGAGATTAACTGATTTTTTTTTTAAAAAAAACATAGTTATAAGAAGCTGGTGATAGAATATTTGCAATCCAAAAATGGATATTTTATAACAGCTTGAAGAAAATATGGAATTGTCTGCCATAAGCACATTCTTTTCTATTCTCTTTTTGTTCCATGGGAGAAGTCAGAAATAGGACTAAATAATATAAATCCCTTTCCAAATTTGGGAACAGATGCTTTCCATGGGGATATAAATCTTTCTCCCAATTCATTGGTACAAAAACTTGAATTGCATATTTTCACTTTGGGAACACCACACTATAGACAATAGACAAGCACATACCTTAGCAACTTTAAAGGAACATGTCGCCTAAATTATGGATCCTGTTTTATTAGTAATCACTTGTTACTAATAGGCACTGTCCACAAATAGGAAAAAAAAAACTAGTGTCTTGGGGAAAAAAAGCTTAAATCAAGACAAGTTCTATTCCATGAAAATTCAGACAGCTTCTTAAGTTCACTACTCAGCCATTTGGAAGCTGTTGTATAAAATGTTCTCTACAAGGAAGACAGTAGCAGTATCTAGATGGGATGCAAAGGTTCTACCTGAAAATTCAGATTGGAATAGGAAAGGGAAAACCACCCATAATAAATTGATTACGAGTGTGTTGCTAAGGAGAGGAACACAATTTGCTGCCACGGCTGGCCAGCATCCAAACACTCAGGGCTTCAACACTCCCGTGGGTCCTCCGTGAGTTGGGAATAGTTTGCTTACTTAAAATAGGCTGTGCAGAGAGCAGGGTTTACATTTTCAAGTTAAACGTGTGCGTTGTTGCTGAAGACTTGATACGCCTCTGCTTTTAGACTCTGAATACTTTCCTTGTTGCGTGCTTCCCTTTGACCGTTGCTAACTAAAGTATGTCTGTCATCCTGGCTACCTTCACATGTTGAGTCAAAGAGGAGAAACTTAAAAAATGGCTTTGCTTACCAACAGGTAGCTCTGCAGATCAGAAATACTTATGTAAGGAAAGGTTTCTCTTTGAGGGTGAGAGAAAAGTGAACTAACCCCCAGTTGGATCGAAGCTTTATAAAATCCTGAAAATGTATCAGGATGCATATTTTTTTTGTGCTATAATATAACTTGGTAGGACAGGAATTACATAAATGTTTACCTTTGTGTAAGGTAAAATGTACTTTTGACATTTCAGAAAGCCAACCTTGCTTTGGTGTTATTTTTCAAAAAGCAGTTGATTTTTGAAATATATTTTAAATATACATCATGTGCCTGAGCATATACCAAATATACAATCTACACTAGCAAATTGCTCTCCATTACTGATCTTATAGAAGGTAAAATGTGCTGTGTAGGTCACAAAAGGTCTCTGTGGATCTAAGTTAGATAACCTCACAATTCTTGCTAGACTGACTGTAAAGTCTCTTATATTAAACGGATTTGTTTCCTATTCTGTTTAGATCTGAGGTAACCAATTTGCAACCCTCAGAGCCTCTTTCTTATTATTTATTGTATTTATTTTAGTTTCATCTATTTTGCTTGGAACCCATTTAATATGTCAGTGTGATTCCCCCACTCTTCAAAAAGCTGTGTATTTTAATTTAGATGTTAAGAAAACTCTCTCAATGAAATGTGTGACTAAATAGATTTATGCTGCATATATGGAAGAAATAGTTTAATAATTACTAGGTGAGTAAAATCACGGCATGTATAGTGTAGCCAATGTCTTCTTTCCTGATATGAGTTTTAATTTACTTAATAAATATTCTGAAACATTCCATCCTGAAAATATCCCTTACTAAAAACTTTTTATTTACCAATTTGGAAGAATGACTTAATCTTTTTATTAAAATTCATTGGAAGAAAAATCTACGCCTATCTCATAAAATACTTTAAATTTAATCTTTGTTAATAATTATATCAAGCCCTTTAAGAAGTTGCAGAGAAGTGCAGGAAGTAAGTCTCCTTGGATTTGGTGGATTTGCTAATTAAAAAAAAACAAATTTCTTTGAAACTATTATTTCCAAAGCTTCCCACAAACCTCATTCACCACTGCGTTAAGTATCAGTCCCATTTATTGTATTCTATTATATTCTTAGTCTGATAACATGAAATTCAAATTATTTACGTTCCCCTCATAAATCTCATCCTTAAAAAAATAAAGATGGATTAAACAAACCCAAATAGAGGGGAATAAAAAATTACATATCGTTTTTAGACTTAACTAATAAGATGCTGGCAACAAAAGCAAAATTGCTGGCCTGTAAATGCCCTTTGTTGCCTTTAGAATCCTTTTAGGGGAAAATAATAATTTGGTGATTGTTTGCTGGACCTGTGCTTGAAGTCAGAATAATGGCTTTTATGAAACCAGCTTGGCAAGGGTATATAAACAATTTAGAATAGGAACATTTTATCATTGCAAACAGGTCTTTTGTAAACAACTCTCACTGATTTGAAACTCTGCCTCTAAGGGAAAATAAATGGCTTGCTTTACTAAAAAACAAAACAAAACCCCAGGCTAATAAAAATGCAGTAAATAGCACACATTCAGGCGTTAACTTGAAAAGAGCACATTAACGCGCCAAAGGTGTTTTTTGACTTTTGTAAACTCATTTCTCACTCTACTTTTCTAGCATCCCAACTTGCTAAATGTGAATCAGGATTTCTTGACGGCTCGACTTCTGAAAATGAAGTTTTTGGATAAGGCCATTTGCATGAGAAGACGGCCAGCACAGGTGAGCCTAACTGCACAGCTCCCACCCCACCTGTTTTGCCAAAAGCCAATGAATCATCCGGTTTTAAAAATGTGCATGCAAAAGAACTGAAAGATTAAAAAGTGATTCCTTATAACAACAGCAAGAACAAAAAAAAAATCAAACATCTACGACAAGGGTCCTCAACCTTGGCAACTTTTTAAGACTTGTGGATTTCAACTCCCAGAATTCCTCAGCCTGGGAGTTGAAGTCCACAAGTCTTAAAGTTGCCAAGATTGAGGACCCCTGATCTACGACACTAGTTATTTAACTGGAAACTGTAGTCCAAACAAATCTTCAACACCCATCAATACAGTTTTCCTTAACGAGAGGTGCCGCAAAATTAGGATGGGCAAACCAACGTCAAAAGTTATTAGGCCTCATTTTAGACTTGGTGTGTGCTTGGCTGCTCTTTGAATTTAACCGTCTTATTCTGACCGACCCTTTCCTCTGCATTTTAAAATGCTTCCCGTATAAGGGACCATTGAAGGTGTGAAGAATAGTGTGATGCTTGTTGCAGTTTAGAGCTTCCAACAGCATAGCTTATCAAGTGGAAAGGGGTACATTCACTCCACCCTTCCTGAAAATTAAATTAAAATGTACAAGACCAAAACACAGGCACTTTCCAAGAAGACAAAAAAAAAAAAAAAAAACCAATGAAACCAAACTTTTTGACTTATTCGATAGTGATAGACGAGAGCCCGGCGGCTTTCGGGAGCTCCTCTTGGCTGGCCTCGGCGCTTGAGAGGGTTTTCGGTTGCTCCGGCAGGTCTTCCTCCTTTTCTAGCAGCCCACCCAGAGGCCCCAATGGGAAAGTGCTTTCACAATTCTGGGTCGACGAGACCTGCGAAATAACCGGCATTTGGACCGAAGAGCTGCTTTCAAATCCATGCTCTCCTAGCTCGTACTGGCCAAGAGTCTCTTCATGTTCTTGGTTTAAGTAGTCTGGTACTAGGAAGTCACTGGAAAGGGGGCGAAAGGTTAGGAAGAGGTTATTTGGTCAGCAAGACACAGGTTGACGCTAACTGCAGCATTACAGCTAAGCGAAGGGTATCTACTTTGCCGAGAAATGAGAACTGCCTGAGCTAAACAGAAACACAATCTAACAATTTGATGCCTGTTCGATTTACACGGTGGATATATGAATGACTTTAAAGCTTCTGGGCCAGCCAACCAAAAGCCTCCGTCACAAAAGAATAAATTTAAGGTAGGGTGGCAACTGAACACAAAGCTGGTAAAATTTAAAGCAGGCAAAGAAAAGTGTCTGCAGGGAACTTTTCTACGATTGGCAGGTCTTTCAGTTCTACTGAGCCCAGTCCAGGTAAAATGAAGCAGTTTTGAGGTTTTGCTTTCAAAGGACCCAACATCTACGAAGGTCAATGTTGGTTGGGCTCTTTCTTTCTAAAACTGGTCTAACTACCTGTTTCAGCTTAGTTGCCTCTCATTCTCCTCCACCAAGAAGGATTTAAGGATAAGTAAGGCTTTTCATGCCGTACTCTGGCTGCTTCATTGCTTTTGAATGTAGTTATACCGCAATTGTGAAAAGAAAAGCAAGGGAAGAAGATTATTGCCAGGAAAGCTATATATTTTTTTCACCTTGGACAAGAAAATTAAGTATTAATGCAAAGCAATTGAAAAGCAGCTTACTTTTTTGATTACTCGAAATCCGTATCTATACTGACAGATAAATGTTATATTTCAAAACACTGACACAAGGCAGGGCCACGACTGCAACATGGTATTCTCTAAATGTGCTGGGCTCCTTAAGTTTCCGACCAATTGGCCTTAACCCAAGTTGGCTGTAGATTGTACAAAATGGAATCCAGCACATCTTGAAGGTGCCATGCTGGACAAGACTTGAGTACCGCCTGGGACCGTGATAAACCTGGCGACCTGACAGAAAAAGATACTACAGGTTGCCATGAAATAGAACAGGTAGTCCTTGACTTACAATCATATTTGGGCCCAGAATTTTCTTTGCTAAGCAAGTCACACCAGATTTTATGACTCTTTTTCAGGTTTGTTAAGCAAATCATTGCAGCTATTAATTGATTCACACGGTCATTAAGCAAATCTGGCTTTCCCCTTTGACTTTGCGGGTCAGAAGTCAATTGGGAAGGTTGCAAATGTTGGTCACGTGACCCCAGGACCCTTGTAAATACATGCTGAATGTCAAGCGCCCAAATTTTGACATGTAGCCCTGGGGATGCTGCAACGGTCCTAAGTACGAGGACCAATTGTAAGTCACTTTTATCAATGCTGTTGTAACTGGTCGCGAAACGAATGGTCGTAAGCCGAGGACTACTCATATAAAAGAGGGGTTAGGAAAAAATAAAGTTGCCCTAACAGTTTCTTTTTCTTTTGGTGCACCTCACCTGCTCTGGAAGTAGTTTGCTAGCTCTGACGCTTCATGGTTCAGACTCCTCAGATGAACGATTAAATTTCCAGAGTTGGTGAACATGGCGCCACATGTTTTGCACTCGTAAATCCGAGGCTTGCGGATAATGTGCCGGGAAACCCGCATGTGGTGTTTATATTCCCCGAAGGAAGTGAAAGTGGCACTACATATCTGGCACCGGAAACAGCGTTTACCTTCGTGCTTCAGGCGATGCATCTTAAGCGAGTAAGCCCGGGTGAACTTTTTCCCACAGCGGTCGCACTGAAATGGTTTAATGCCTGGGGAAAGAATAAGCGGAAAATCTTCACCACGGAATAGCATCGGGAATAAAATTCCAGCCCCTCCTAATGGCAACGCGTCGGCCTATTTACACCGAGGCTGTGTAAACGTCTAAAAACAAGAGGATAATTCGGTCAAAATATTCGAGCATTGGATGCCTTTTCCCCAAGACTAAGTATTTAAATCTTTGAACTGAATATTGAGTAAGATAATAAGACCGTTCCCTTATTACATTTCTGAAGAGCTGTGAAACCACATCTGTTCAGCACAAGAACAAATGAAAACATATTATGCCCAGCAGTGGTGCATCATATTGGTTGTAATTTCTGGTTTAATGGATTTTATTAATTTTATTCCAGCTTGGGTCAGGGGTGTAAACCACTCAGAGTTGTCATAAATGGAGCGACGTATCAAGCAAAGTCAAGAAATACACTAAAAGGTTATTAATAAAAGGATGTAATATAAATCTGAGGAACATACAAAGGCCTGCTAGGGGAGATATGGTATATATATCTGCAACATTATTAACTTTTCTGGGTTAAAAACATATCCTCCGTTATATTTTTTAAAAAGGAGAAAATCTTACATCTTTCTTGATGTCATGGTTCCAACTAATGAAACACTTCAAAGAACTTCCAAGCATGTTTATTGAACATGCTAATATTGAATATTCTTGCTTTGATACTTATATTGCAGGAAACCAGGATTCAATAGAATAAGAGAGATACATAAAGACTAAAACCAAGTCTGATGTATTTGTTACCATGTTTTTATTTCTAGAACAAAACTCATGTGAAACATTCTGCTTTCCAGTCTAAATTCTCAGACTTCCAGAAATCAAAGCGGATGTCTCCTTCCATTTAATTGCATTCTTGCAATAGGAGCTATTAACAGCCATAGGTTACTTCAAAACATTCAGGTCGTCTTCGTTTAGCAACCACAACTGGGACCAGCAACCTGGTTGTTAAGCAAAGTGATCTCTAAGTGAAAGTGCAACTCTACTTACAATCTGACTTTACAGAACTGTGAAGCTATACCTGTGAACTGTCGCTGAACAAGGCAGTTGCTAAATGAGGACTCCCTCTGTAGCAGGCATGTCAACCTGCTGGCCTGCGGGCCTGATGCGTCACGCCGAAACAGCACCCACCCCATTGCCGGCAATGGGGGAAAAGTCACATGATGTTGCGCGACGTCACGTGAGTTTGACATGCCTGCTCTATAGGCTCTTGTTCAAATTAAACCTTTGGGAAGTGGACCGACCAGATATCCTTACCTGAGTGGATGAGCATGTGCTGTTTTAAGTTCTGAATGCGGGTGAATCGAACCCCACAAGTTGGACATTGAAAAGGTCTGTCAGGACCATTTGGACTAGGTCTCTCTGTGCTACTGGTTGTAGGAGCAATATAGAGCTGGTAAGGGTATTGGACATTCTCCAGTCTGAAGAAGCAAATAGTAACTCTTTTAGTAGCAGATCAAGAGGAAAAAGGTCAATGTACAAAATACAACAAAATGCATTTCAAAAAGACAATGATGATGATGTTAGGATCAAAGACAAAGAATTGGAGATCACAAAGTATCAAGATCTGAAAAATGCAGCTGAAAGATTATGGTGGCAGTGGCGGTTCCAGGGGTTACTGGTACACTGGATGCCGTACCATGAAATCTTGGATGGCACTTAGAAAATCTGAGCATTGACAAATTTTCCATCCATCAGTTGCAAAAGGCAACACTGCTTGGACCCACATACTACACCGATACATATGACATCCTAGGTTCTTGGGAAAAACTTAATGTGTTTGAAGCCAACATCAATTAAAGAACTGGCAGTTGTGACTTCTCCTTGTTGTGAAGAGGTAACAATACAACAAAAACTAAGTCTACTAAACTATATTAAATGACTGAATTCCGAATGACTGAAAAAGGTAATTTTAAACAAAGTCTTGAGGAAAGAGATGGACCAGGTTATGAAAATAAAAGAGTTGCAATTAAAATACCATCACAATGAACCTGGTATAAAATACTGGTTATAATAATAATTTCAACAGCTGATACTAGAATGATATTAAACTGGTGTACATTTGGAAAAGTCAGAAATCTTTTCTGGGCACATAATGTTATATAGTCATACCTATTCCAGGAAATGCTTTTTAAACAATCCAGGTGCTGCATAAGTGTGTTAGGCTTTTAATTTTGCTTTTTTTTAAAGCCACTTATTGGCCACATCAAAGTTTTTAATATGTTAAACTTCTTCCACCTGTGAATCTTTTTGGTAGATATTCGCTCCTATTTTTAAAACGTAGGTATCTACTTGATTGAAAGTATCTCCCTAATGTGGACCACATAAATGCCCAGATTTATTCTGTTCTGCAAATCCCCACTTTAATCACTCTGCAACTATATATTTGTTCTATTGCCAGCCAACGTATCCACATGGTGTATGCGTAAAAAACGAACATGAAAAGGAAGTTAGGTTATGGGGTACTTGATGCTCTCTGAACTTAGTTGTTTTCTTCGATGCCTGCAAGAAAACAACAAAATCAGAGACCATCAAAGACCCGACAGTTCAACCCCACAAATATTCTTTTCTGTTGGAAGTTAGGTTGTCAGAAACAGTGACTGACTCAAAGTGACCTAGGAAACTCTGTCTAAATAGTATCACAGCTTGAAAATTCCTTGTTCTGCTTAGGAATTTAAAATGTAAAAAAAATAGCCTGGTGACAGGCGGTGTGGATACTGAACATTGGAAGTGTGTTCATGAACCTCATATCTTTGATCTCATGTTTGTCACCATCTTAGATGACTCAATACAGCAATCTATCTACAAAGATCTAGTTCAGGTATTATACATCACTTTCCTCCAGCCTGACACACTGTCCCTATGTCATGGGATTGCAACTCTTGGTAGTATGGCCAACTACTCTACTGGCTTGAAATTCTAGGAACCCTAACAGAGACAAAATGAAGAAGGTGGTTCTGCAGAATGTTTTGTGTACTATATTTATACGTACCGGTCATCATCTTCCACATGAATATTCCCACCAGAAGTACTCTGGAGTGATGGTAATCCTTCAGTGACACCTTCATCTATTGAACCTAGGGGCAGTTAAACAAACCATACACATTAAGTTACAGTTTAATTAGAACTATAGCAATGTCTTTTCACATCGTCCTCACAACTCTTTCACGGACCACAAGATATCTCGCTGCCATATTTAAGAATTCTGTTATCACCTAATAGGATAATGATGTAAACCAATCTGCATAAATTATAAAGAGCAAATTTTAATAAATTTGGCCTCTTTGGATTCAGGAGATTTTTCAATTGGAAACAGGCTTAGATACACATTAAGTGGAGGCAGGACTGTGATTGCAAAGCTAGTTTATTGTTTAAATAATGGCCCGGGAAGGACGTAAAACAGGCTAAACACTACAATGCACAGAAGCAGAAACAAATAACTGTAAAGCTCATGTTCCTCCTCATATCGTTTCCCCAGTATTGATGCCAGATTTGTGTTGCTTATATCTCAGTACACCCCAAAGAGCCCTAACTGAAGCAGAGTCTGTCTAAAGCAAAAATAATGGAAAACACAAGGATTTGTTGTCAGTTAAGATCTGCAGCATTCATTAATATTGTGTTTCCACTCATCTGTACTGAAGCCATTTCAAAACTGTTATCATCGGGAACGGTGAAAAGATGCAGGAGGAAGATTTGTTAAATGTGGTTAAGATTATTAGAGAAAATGTAAGCTCTTCAAGACTCCCTCAATATAGTACAGCATAGGAGGCCTTTTACTGTCATGTCCTTTACTGGAAACCATATTCCAAAGCAGATTATTATTTTGGATTCTGAGTGTATGATATCTTAACCCTGTCTAGGAGAGACAGCTCTGCTGCTATTTGTAAGGAATCAGGACTTGAGTGATTTGTTATTAACTCATGGCTACAAACAGAACTATAAGTCCCACATAATTCACTGGAATTTATTTCTGAGTCACTATGATCACGATCAGTATTAGGCTACTTATATTGTCTGGAATTGCTAAAATAACTTGTGTTTAAAAATTGAAAGCTGTTGTGACCTGAATATGAAAAACCATTAGGGCTGGTAAGATTGTTTTAATGTTTGACATCTATAAAAAGAAACTCGCATCAGTTTAAGGCACTGACTTCTGTTTAACTGTAATATGCTGTTGTTCTCCATCAATATCTTACTGCTTTAGAAAACAGTGAGGGAAAGAAAGGCCCATTGTTTAGTAATGAGACAAATGTCTCCTAAACATGATTGTGGGTTCCAGTTTCAGGCGCCTTCATTTAAAGGATTCTCAAAAGCACACAATTGGAAGGATCCTTGTGCCAGACCCTGGGAAGCTACTGCTGGTTACAGCAGACCATATTAGATTTTTTAAAAAGAAAAGGCTTCCTTGAGCCAAACTTGAATCCTGATCACTACATAGTCAAGACCATTTAATTTGTTACCAACAATACTCTCCTCCATGATTTTTTTAACCTCTCAGTCTAACCTTGGATCTTGAATTTTCTGGTGGCTCAATTCATGGACTTTGTCTTTGCTTAGCTTTTCTGAAGTTCACTTAGATGTTGCTACATGAATCAAAAACCTTATAGCATAAGGCATATGTTGGCGTATTATATTTTAAACATTAAGGTTGCTGTCAAAGATGCTTGAAGATGACTAGACAGTATGGGTAGATCTCCAGTTGCACTCAAAACAGTATTTATAAAGTCTTAGCAGACATTATCATATGATTTTTAATTATGTGTATATGAGATGCCAGCATAATATGCTGCAAGAGAATGTAGATGGAGTTATATTTTCAAATCATAAAACTTGAGTTGGAAGGGACTATATAGTCAACAGGTCTAACCTTCTCCTAAATCAGTGGTTCTCAACCTGTGGGTCGGGACCCCATTTGGGGTCGAACGACCATTTCACGGGGGTCGCCAAACAACGCAGTCCACCATCTTTTCCCCCTTTTCCTTAGCTGTGCTACTCCCTTTTATTCTATTGGCTTTTTAAAGCTAATAGAATAGACTCTCTTGAATAGAGTCTAATTCTATTGGCTTTCAAAAGCCAATAGGAATTGAGCCCGCCAAAAGCCCCATTCTGCAAATGGTGCTGCACCAGTTGAGTAGTCCTCGACTTACGACCGGTTGAGTAGTCCTCGACTTACAACCGGTTGGAGGGTCGCGGCATTAAAAAGGTTGAGAACCACTGTCCTAAATGCTGGCGGACAAATTAAAACATCTGAACAAATGACAATCTAGTAGTTATGCTGGTAAAGGCATTCTATTTCATGTAATATAATGAAGATAAAGTGCACCCTAGTGGTGGCTAAAATTCCCAATGCATTGAGTGACAAGCTGATGAGTGATTTTTTTTTTCTGTTCATGCATCTATGTAGTAGAGCAAAATAAACCCAATCACTCTTTTCCTCTCTAATAAGTGTAGTATTTGAAACATTTGTTTTGCATCAGATGTCCTACAAAAATTAGAAATAAACCAATCCTTATGGTGGAGCATCCCTAAATGGATCAGAAGTGGGGGAAAAGTAAACTTGGGATGCTAGATTCTTACTGCAGCTATAAAATACTGCTGGCAAAGGAGTCCTTTTCATCAATGATCTTTTTTTAATGCAACCAGTAATTTGTGTAAAACTATTGGATATCCCAGGAAACTGTCAACAGTGGAACTCATACCGCTTTTAAATTCCTGCATCTTCAGACAAAATAATACAGAATTATTATGAACAAAGGAACATGAAAATTAAACATTTTGTTTGTCCCAGGTCTGTACTGATAACTTTGCAGCTGGAATCTCATTGCTCTCTCTTTGAACTTCATGCAAATGAGAAAATTCAGTTGGCATCCTTATGTATGGCCAAAGCCTTCATTCTTTTTGTGCACATTCAGCCAAATTGATCAAGAAAGATGCACAGTAACATTTTGTTCACTGCCCTACCTATATAATATAAAAATGCCAAGTGTCTTGGATTTTTAATGATGGTTCATTCACCGTATGGAGGATTTTTTAAAAAAATAGTAACAAACATAGCGGGTCTGAGATGTTTAGTGAGATGGTCTGTTTTGATAAGGAAAGATATTTGGGCAAATACATTTGAAATATATGCCTGATTTCCTTACTTTGGCACACCATATTAATTTTATGATATTATATAAATTATATATTCAACAATAGCAGTGTATTAAATAATCCTTGACTGCTTAGAAATTAAAAATGTTTCTGTTGATAAATAGCATTTTGGCAAGTTTTTGTTTACTGTGAGAACATAGTTCCAAACCTTTGCTTAACAAATTAACTTCTTTTAAAAAGATATGATAGAACATTGAGCCACATAGATGCACTTCTGCAATCATTTCCTCCCTTGTAGTTTATTAAGGCACTGAGGTTTAAGAGAAAAAAACTTCAAGGAGCTGGCTATTATGTTTTTAATCACCCAACAAGAAATTCTACTTAATATGCCAACTTTTTTTTTTAAAAAAAATGTGATGCCAAGTGCTGATTTTAAAGGATCATTTACTGAATAAAAGATCACTTACTTAATAAATCAGAATATTATTTATAAGTATTACCCGTATTATGTATAAATAAAGCAAAATGGAAATCATCAAAATTGTTTTGGTTTTATAAACGTGCTGCATTAAAATATTGTGCATTATATTTTATATAAATTGTTTTAATTATTTGGCAAACACTTTCTGATTTACTGTAAATCACAAAGCAACGATGGAAATCAGTGTTTTAATCAGAAACAAAAGAAATTTGCTCTTTAATGGATTTCTATTTGCATCTTCTCACCTTTTCAACTCTAGAAATGACTATCATACTTAAAAAATTACTGCAATATACCTCTGAATGAGGATGCAGCGATGTAAATAATCATTATACAAGACGTGGTCCTCAACATTTCTGGCCTGGTAAGTTCATTTGATATTTTGAGAAATGCTGTAGATGCTCTGGTAACAGATCTACCCAGTCAAGACTCCATTTTATATCTGTCATCCTTCCAGACAGGCACCTATACAAACTGGGCAGCAAATACCTATCATTTTGTTTTCTATAATTGTTTAAGAAGTCCATTCCAAGACCACAGACACCTGTAGAAATTAAAAATGAAGCCAAGACTGGCCCTTTTGCTTAGAAACCTTAGTGTTCCATTTTTTAATTAAAATATTCCTTTAAAGCAAAATATCAGGCAGGGCAACGAGAGGGCATAATTGGTGCTCTAGGGAAATTGCCTCAGGCAGGGCAATTTATAGAATCTAGCACTTCATGTTCAAAACTTCCAAAATAGACTTGGTGATAAGAGTAGTTCCTAAGAAAACCATCATGAAATTGAATGAGTATGAAAAATATAGCAAAGAATTGAATACTAAATTATGCTCCAGATCATTGAGGTTTCTTTGGAACATTCATAGGACAACCTGAATCAGAATTGGAAGGTATTTTCTTCATATGATAATTTAATTCGACTCCTTCTCATTCAGCTATAATAGGAAGAAAAATACCACAACCAAGGAAGACAAGTGATTAAAAAGAAGCACAATTAAAACACATGCACATAAACAATTCTTGCAGGGCAAAATGGGAAATGTGTGCAGGGCAAACACAAGTTTCATTGTCACAACATGTCCTTATCCTTGATGTGTATCTAGGGCACTTGTATAGCTTTCCAGGAGACTCTATAAGAGGAGGTTTTCTTAAACTTAAAAATCACACCTTCCCTCTTAGCAATTGATTTTAGCCATTTGTTTCCTTGACAAGTCATTAAAAAAGCCTTGTCCTTATTTCACACAATTAAGTCTATGTTATTCTGCTCCAATAATGAATCTGTATGACTAACCACATGTCACTGGAAATTTATTTCCTGAACTCCCTTTCCATGTGCTGAACAGCATGGATTGGATTACATTAGCCTGGTAAACTAGCTTTCTTCCAAGGGCTGCAGGAAAATAAATTTTGCCTTTCTTATTAATTGACAAACTGCACTTTCACATTTCTGGCAGTTTAGATATATGGTATCTAATAATACAGTAAAAACCGTTCACCTTTGTTGTTCTTCTATTCAAAAATTCACAACTGCTCACTCAAAAAAAAAAAAAAAAAAATAGGCAAAACAATTTAATTTGAACTGAAATGTGGCCAATATCCATTGTTAACATAACAGCTACTCAAAATATGATGTAAAAAAATAGCAATATAATTATACTGAGGCATTGCTACTACAACTATTTCCTGCTTCCTCAAAGCAGCAATGAAATTGAACTTCTTTGTTTTAGGTGTTTTCTTCTTGGAAGTTTCAGAGTAGAAGGAATAACTTTTCTCCTCTTGCTGTGCAAAGTGTAATCACTTGCCAGGAAATAAGGCCCATTGACTCAATAGAACTTCTAGTGTAGATTAGTATGGTTTATTACTTTTAACTGTTTTTCAACAGCAAGTATCTAAAAATAGCTCGTGAAAGATGTTTAATATACCACAAATCAAAGTAATTATTTCTGTGCATGGCAAATAAAGTTTAAAGTTGGAAGAAAGGCGATTCAATACTTCTGGACTATGTGAATTTGACAAAGTATTTTGGCTGAAATACAGTGAAAATGGTTATCTTTATACAACCTTTACAAGATACAGTATTTCTTGTGAACCACTTGTAAACTCAGAATGAACCTAAAAACTCTAACGCAACAAGGAAAACACACATAGATTTAAGTGATTCTACCTATAGAAGATGACTGCGGACTGATCAAAAGGTCCTCCTGAACTTGTTCACTTCCAGGGACTGTCTGCTGATCACTCAAAGAACTTTGGGATGCGCTAACAGGCTGAGATACTTCCTCATGTACTTCTTCATCACTCAACCTTTCCACTTTTACACGCACATCTTCTTCAATCACCAGGGGTGAGCTGGTTTTTGTGCTCTCACACGTCATATAATCAGAAATTCTTCTAGAGGCTTCAGATGGGCCAGGCACTTCTAGAGTCCGAGAATTTTCCACTTGCTTCACCTTTTCTGACTGGAGTCTTCGGTCAATTCCAAAAGGGAAAGTCCAAGGAAAAGCTAAGGAAGAGTCCACAGGATGACTTCTACTCTCTGCGTAGGAAGTTGAAGTAGTCAAAACTTGTGGGGAGTTTGTCTGGGTGTTACATTTAAGTGGACTTTCTGGGGACATTACAATATAGCTTTTACGCTTCCGACGCGATTCTCGGCAGACAGGAATGGTTCTTTCTACCACACTGCATTCTGAGGAAACTGGAGAAAGACTGCCATCCCGTGATGTAAAATTGCAGTTTGCACTGTTTTCCTGGCCTGTGTCTAGCACCTTTTCTTGCTGACTGCTGGGGGTGTTCCATAAAATACTTGACTTCATAAACTCAGAACAGGTGCTAGCAACACTGAACATTTGCATATAGCTAGCAGCGGCCAAGACATCAATAATGTTTTCAGTGTTAATAGACAATGTTGCCGTGTAGGCGTATTCCAGAAGAGGCAAAAAGCCAGTCACTGTCACATGATGCAAGTCAAGTACGCTCTGGCCATCATCTTCTGCTTGACCAACCAATTTGGAACGGAAGAAGTCACTGCACGCTGCCAGGACTACCTTGTGTGCTCTGAAGATTTTATCTTGGACACGGATGGTGATGTCACAGAAATGTCCATCGTTACGTAGCATGTTCAGCTTTCCAAGCATCTCCTGGCTGTGAGCTGGGGAACTGTGGGTAAATGTTTTGACGCCCATTTTACTTGTATACTTGCTGCGACAAATATTCAAAATGGACCTAGAAAAGACAAAAAAGGGAAAAGTTTTTTCAGTTATGTAATTATGTAAAAAAGCTAAAATATGGGAATTTATCATATAACATGTCATTAATATGTGCTTATTTAAAACATTATTTAAATAATGTTTCTGTGTTTGTTAGGTGAAAATATATTGCTGTTTGTCAATTATTTCAAACAAGACATAAAAGACTGAATTATTGTATTTGAGTCAATGGAAAATAAAGGCTGTATGAATTATCCTTATTAACAAAAACCTGCTTAACTAAAGATGTGAACGCTCCTTCCCCATCTTCCTTTGATGCTATGTCAGAGTCAATGCTTGATGTACTCTCTAAACTAGGCCAAACTGGAGTGAGTTTAAACCAGGGGTCTTCAAACTTGGCCCTTTTGTGACGTGGACTTCAACTCCCAGAATTCCTCAGCCAGCATGCCAAGTATGAAGACCCCTGGTTTAAACAATGGTAAAACTTATGTAAGTAAACTTTCAAGAGATTGCAAGTAGTGCAAATATTGTAATCAAATCTAATCCAGCCTATGGTTTGCCTCTTTTATGATTTTTACAGGAAGATGAAATAAAAATTTACATTTCCTGCAATCAAATTATTCTTGGTAATTACTGGTTATTCCACTGCAATAGGAATTTTAACATAATTATGATTCAATCATTATTCATAGTGTACAACTGTGCTTGCAGGAAAGTTTAGAAAAATATAACACATAATTATTTGAAACTTGAGTTGTAATAGTTAAATACTGATATATAATATTCTGCACAATTTTGGTAAACAAAGACTTTTATTACCATACATTGTAAGAAGCTCAGACCTTGTTAAGTCCACAGCTTCAGATCCTTAATTAATCATGTAGATTAGAATTCAAACTAACATAGACTCAAGAATAATTAATCCTGTCAGAGTTCACTTGTCTATTAAATAATTGGTCAAATTTGAGTGCAAATCTGAGAAAAATTACTCTTCAGTAATTTCAGAAGATTACTATGTCAAAAGTATTTGCAGTCATTTTTTTGACATAATAAAATCACATGAGGTGAGTCAATAATATTTTCAAGTGTTAAGAATGTAATTGCTCCATCTGATACCGCTGCTGCTTTCAGTAATACTTATGCATTTCTAAATATAGTAGAACTTTCTCCTTATACTAAAGTGGGCATTTAAGGTCACTTTCTTAAGATGATCTTATCTGAAAGACAATGAGTAGGCATGACTGATCATGTTTTTAAAGTCTTGGGGTGGGGCTTGATTGCTTATATATGTTACATGTCTGCATAGTATACAGTCTACTGAAGTCAGATGAATTTAATATGTCTGTGTATACACAAATATAGTAAGATATGGTTGGGATACTCAAAACAGTAAACAGTAAAGTGTAAAAGGCAGGTTGTAATCACATACATAGCACAGCAAGTCTAGCAAGCAAATCCCAGGCATATTTATTTACATAATCCTGCCTTTCATTTTGGAACTCAAGGTGATATATATATAACACAACTGTACCTTCCTTCTCCTGTTTTTCATCACAACATTCTGGTGAGATAGATTCCACTGAAAATGCATGACTGGCCCAAGACAGCCAGTCAGATTACTAGAATTAAGAATAACAGTAGGCAGATTTTTGCTACATATTTCTTACAGGGACCCAGTGCTTGATTTCCAATTAACAATTACTGCATTTTCATTTTAAAAGTCCATACTGCAATAAATACAAAGTTTGCCAAATATTGTATATCTATCATCCAATACTCACGTCAAACAATAATGAAACATTCTGCATTTATTTGTACATTATACTGAATTTCAGGAAAAGCACACATCAAATAAGTTACTTCATTAGCAATAACATGAAGTAACTTTCTAACTATTAATGTTGCCCCTTTTAAATTTTTGACCCAAACAATACTTCTCCCAAGACCCATACCAATCCATCTCTCATCCCCCAGTCTGGCTAAACTTAATTGTTCAAGGTGTGTATGCTTTTGCTAATCCATTAACTTCTACTGACATAAGTTACTTCTGTAAAAGGAACTGACTTTCAGGAATTCTGTTCAAGTTTAAACAAGACAAGCATTTGGTACTGCTCTCGCCCTTTCTACACTGATTTAACTTTACAATGAGTTAATTGTATGAATGGAATTGTATACTAAATGTTTTTAGATACCCTAGTTCATCTCAAACAAACAAAAAAAAATGCCATTCAGGATTAACAGTTAGGCCAGCATAAATTCAACTCTTTTGAAAATGCTCTAAATTCAAAACCAACATGCAACTGCTGCTGGGGGATAAGATCAATACATGAAGATAATGATTACATAAGCAAATTTATCTAGGTGCTGTGCTTATATGTTCACACAGCAGTAGCCAATCTTTTTTCTTTTTTGCTCTACCCTATGCTAATGAACCATTTTTATTTACTGAAGCTACTTCTATTTACTGAAGGAGTTTATCACAAAGCTGTGCAAAACAACATACAGCCATTCCTGAATTTTAAAAGGTTACTTCATTAATGCCCAGAGATCATCCTGTTTTACTTTACATACATCTAGAAACAGGCACTAAAAATTCTGTATTCTGCCTGCACTAGAATCTTAACAAATTTCAGCCCAAACTGCAAAGCTACTTAGGGCTTCACATATACTGTATGGGTAAAATTTTTGTTTAATTTTGTGTTAGCTTATATTTGAGCCAATCTATTATTACCGATACAAAAAATTACAATCAACAAACTATGGTTTACCATTAAAATAATAGATCCTATACTGTAACCATCTCTTAAGCCAATCTATGACCGTAATAACAATTTGACTTATCTCTCTGAAGAGAAATCAAATTATAACTGCCCATACTTTTTATGAGTTTTCTAGTCAAATCTGTAAACATAAAAAGTAATTCAGATTCAGAAATCTTCATATTTTATTCCAGTGAAAATAAGAGGATTACGTGAATTAATAACTAACTTTTCAATAATTATATGTAACTTCAAGGTTAGAAGGAAGCAGACTTCCTAGCCCTCAAAGTGCCCATATCATGAAATTATTTTTAAAAAGATTTGTATAGCTGCCTATCTTATCCAATATAAGTATACGCATCTTATGTAATATAAGATCACAAACAGTAAAAAAAAATGAAAACAGTAAAAAAACCAACACAGAAACTCTTAGTCATGCCAAAACACAATATATTTCCACATATCCATAACAAATTTTATTAGGTTCACACTACCTCAAAGTACATAGAAAGCTTCTTTATTTAGCATAAAGCTCTATATATGGGACTACCAATTTTCCATTTTAGATGTATCTGTGAACAAATAAATTTCTGAATACTGTTTATGTTTATGAGGATAAAACAAACATAGTAGCTACTTCAAGACTATTTTGCTAGATATTGCTCTTAGTGGCCAGAATGCCTAGAAATCTGGTACTTTATAAAAAGCCGAAATTCTCTAATTCCCTATTGCTGTTGCTGTGTAACCCAATTTTTTTTTTTTAACCTTTAAGTATGTGGCCTCTAGGAAGGGGAAGAAATTGAAAGAAAAAAGATACAAGTGATAATCACCAGAAATTAAACTTTAAATGTGACATATTTAAGGTGTTTAAAGGTCAAATGGGGTTACTTTTATTTGAAGACAACAATAGTAATCTAAATAGAAATAACTGAAAATTGTTATACATTACCAAGAAAGCCTGCATAGCTATATCAAGATTGGTAACAAGGAATTTGCTATAGCTTCAGTATATTAAATCATAATTATAAATAAAAATGTTCAGGAAAAGTCCATTGTTTCTTGCAGAGATCAGTAGCTGCACTATTAAGTAATGATTTGCTGTAGTAATTGCCTGGCCTAAGCAAGAAGCTTATCTGATAGAGGTAATTATTTATTTCAGTTTAGTTCAGTTTGTCTTTCTACCTTCTGCACTGTACATATATGGACAAAAACTTTCTGCAGAAATGGATAGGAATGTATTATTCTGTCATTTATTCTCTCTCTCTGCAAATATAGTTTTATTGTCACTATGCAAAACTCTGGGGTACTAAATACCTACTACTGGATTTCACTAGAAGTCAGATTTTAGTTAACAGCAGTAAGCCAATTAAATCAAATACTTAATGCATATCTAACTACCCACCTATTTAATTTAATCATCAAGAACAAAGAGTACAATTGATCTTTTGAATTCTTGCTAAGGATATCTAGAATAATTTTAAGTATATACTATGAACAAGGCAGATCTTCAGAATAACTCAACTATTTAACTGTTATTTATACTTCATTTGTAGTATGATAAAAATGCTTTTAAATATTTCCGTATTACGAGTTCCGTATAACTTAATGTGCATGATGTAATTGTCTCCCTTATAAGAATCCTTCGAAGTTAATGTGGACAACTGGTGTTAGAGTTGCCCACACGCACCGTAAAGTTTGTACAATCAGATGTAAAGGACTATATATGTTGGTGTGAAGGCAAGTGAGTGGAGAGAAAGAAGCTTAATCATTTATTCCAGTCTACTTTTACCTCTTTACTGCTGTTGATGTTAAAATGCTAAAAAGATGCCCGAAACCTTAAGATTCCATGATAAATCCATCTCAAAATAGGCTAACAGTACATTCTGTTTTAGCAACCATTCTCAAAGAACTCTATGGTCAGCCATAGAGTACTTTCATAGCAGCTGCCAGAAAATCTGCTCAAAACTTCTCAAGGAGCCCCCTGTTAACAACTGCATTTTAATGTCTTGGAAGGGGGTAGTCATGCATAGAAATGGCAGGCCCTCATAATAAGCCTTTAAGGCTAAGGTTGCTCTAAAGGCAGTCAATATAGTTCCTCTATTATAGAAAGAATTTTGAGGTCGAGTGTGTGGCTTGCTTAAGGCCACCTAGGGAGAATATAAGAAAAATGAGATTTAAAAAGTTAAGAATTTCCTGGTTTACAGCTTCCTGCCTTTAGCCAATATGCTGTCTAGCACATTTATTTCTTTGCCTATTCTTCTTCCTTGCATTTAACATATTTTTAAACCAGAAGGATTTTGGCTGGAAGACAGATATTCAAATCCTTAAAATAATTATGATTAGACATAATTTTGTCTCGTAACTATATTTTAGACAAATCTATTCCATGAAGTAGTGGCAAGGACAAAAATATAGCATTTTTCTTTCTTGGAATAAGAGTAGTGTTCTTCTCTCATATAGAAGAAAAGCATTTAGCTTACAGAGTAAACCAAACACGAATTGAGACTCTTTCAAATTTTTTTTGTCAAGGTGCATTACCATACATAAATTAAATAATTTATAAAAAGAAAACTATTCCAATATTCAAAAGTATTCCATGCTATATTTACTCATTATATCAGATTATTCTAATCTACAGAGTAAGAGACTAAATCAAATCCTGTCAATTTTGACATATTACTTTTATCAAATACAATATTGAGTAAATTTTGCAAGCTCGAAAGTAAAGCTAAAAACATAGAGCAAGAACAAAAAAGTAGGGATATAAACTCTGAATCTATTAAAGTCAATTAAACTTTCACCTGCCTAATACTATTCTATCTTCTAAAGCCACGCGGCCCTTGGTCTTTCAGCTAGAAGTTAGAATCGATCACCCACTGAATTCTTAGCTAATTTGATTACTTTAAAATGTGTCTTTGCTTACAAAGGATTGTACTTTTAAAGAGAAAACAATTTCCCTCCCTTTTAGCCAATTCATACAATATTCAGTTTACTTTAATTGTCTTCTGCTTCAAAAAAACGACATCCTTGAAAAAAGACAAAGTAAATAAAGAACAGTTTTAATGTGGGTATTCTTTTTGACAGTAATATTACATTAAGCAACAGGTGATCCTGGACTATCACCAACAGAGGATTAATATGCTGTGATTAACAAATCCATGACTCTTTAGCATAAACAAGTTTATTTTTTATCCTTTTGCTGTAAATGTTGTAGCCACTATGAGTATAACAGATTCAACAGAATACACATTCAATAAATAACCCTCAATCAACAATAATTTAAAACACCTTATACTTATGGCTGTGAATGATGAATCAATGCCTATATAAAAAAACATGAATAGTACAGCAGACAATTTTTTTCTTGTTTTGTTCAGCAAGCATGCAAATAAGTGTGTACATTTATATCCTGTCTATTAGAACAGATCTACTGGACAAAGCCTTTTGCTAGAATGAAATGCACAAGTAACCTGTTGCCTCTTCGTAGGAACAAATCATTATTCCGAGATCATAATAAAAACAAAAGTATAGTCAGATTTTAAGCAAAGCGTGATATGCTCTGATGATGGGTATGAGCCTGATTTTTACGCAATAAGTTGTGGCATAGTTTGTCTGCTTTAGCTTAACACATGGGAAAATATCATTTTTGGCTGATGCATATACTCAGACGGTTGTGAGTGCCCTTACAAATTAACTTCCATAAGAGTGTTAAAAGGACAACCAACCATGATTCTGCATGGATATGCCCAAATAGTTTCCTTGGAAACGATAAAGAAATGCTTCTCCTCTCCAGCAATGTTTTCTCATCTTCCCAGTCCAGCTGAAAATGCCTGAACCTGAAAGTCTCCCACTGAAATACTAATCAAGTCTGACCCTGCTTAGTTTTTGACATCAGCCAAAGTGGTTTTTCTATTGACAAAATGCCTGTCATGGTGATTTCTGCCCATGGTAAATTTCATCAGGAGGGAAGTTAAAGCAATCATGTGTACAGTACTCTCTCTGCTGATGCTCTACCACTCCAGGTTATCTGATTGTGAATTCTGAATCCATGGCACAAAATAAAATGACAGGAGACAACAAATCTTTTTCCTTGTTTTGTTCACTAGTATGAAAATAAGTATATTAATTTATATCCTGTCTACTCTATTAGAACAGAACTATTGGACAAACCTCTTGGCTAGAGTGAAGTGCACTGGTAAACTGCTGCCTTTTGTAGGGACAAGTCATTACTTCATTATTTTTGACTGTTTACTAAACTGGTTAGTGCATCTTCAAACACAGCATTAGACTGTGCCTGTTTTTATGTTCCAATAACACAGAGACTATTCTGAACCACAAATCATTCTTGGAAAGAGGAAGATGGTAGCTCCTTGTTTTGTTTTAACTTAAAAAATTCTAAGAGCCCCATAAATTTCAGCAGGTTACAGATCCGTCATCACCGAAAATGAACAAGGCCTGCATTCTGGACCAGCAAGGGTGACTCATGTCAGCATAACAAAAATCAACCAAGGGGGCCATAACAATCCCCCCCCACACACACAAATGTGGCATCAGAAAAACCAAGCAAATTAATGGACATTCTTGACCAGTAAACAGAAGAGCAAAAATGAAGGGCTGAGCAAGACCTACTTGCTGACCAAAACAACAGGTTTGGGGAAGGGAGAAATCAAATTCAGCCAAAACATGTAAGGACGGACTCTTTTCCAATGGTACCAATGGCGTCTTCTACCTGTACAGTGACCCATTATTTTCCCTGCAAAAACAAACGACACACCTGAAAAAGGGGCAAGTCTGAAAGAGATCCCCAAGGACACACACACACACACACAAAACCATCACCTTTATTACTCTGCTTTACAAATTCCAGCGCACACCAAGGCAACCCTGCCATGACATAAACCTTCAAGGGGCAGCTTTCTGACCCAAAGGGCGGTCCTTTAGAATCAAGGACGCAATGGTCAACTCTCCATATCATGCACCACTAATAAATATATCGCTTATTATACGTTGAAAGGCATCATTGGGAAAACCTCCCCAGGCCAGGGAGGCAGACCTACTTTTGGCAGCTTAACCTCCGCCTTGGGGGGGGGGAGCCACAGACACCATGGAGGCCTTGAAACTTCCTGAACCCCCCCCCTCCTCGCTTTGGGAGGGGCTTCCTATAGGAGGAACTCCCCCAATGGTTAATGAAAGGTTAATTAATGGCAACAATGTTGCAAAAGCCGCACCTGAGCAATCCCAGGGCGGGGGGGGGTGTTAAGAAACAGGCATCCCCGCAGTGCCCTGGGAGGACCCCAGGCATCAGGGCGGACTGAGCGCCACGGGGGAGCCGAGGCCGGGATGCTCCGAGAAGGGGCGGGGCCGAGGGGCGGGGCCTACGCTCCCCCCCCCTCTCTCTCTCCCTCCTCCCCCTCAGCCTTCATTACCTGCTCTTGGCGAGGCCCTCCTGTCCCCGCGGGCCGAGAGCGGGAGAGACGAGGGAGGTTAAGCCGGTCGGTAAACAAGCGCAAAGCCCAGCTTCTCCCTCTCCGGGCCCCGTCCCGGCTCCTCAGCTCGGCCCACGTAGGGCCATGGCGGCCGCCCCCGACGCGGCTTCTTTTGCTAAGGGGGGGGGCGGAGGGAAAGGAGGGGGGGGCCGCGAAGGAGGAGAACGAGTCCCGCGCGCCGCAACGCAGGCGCTCTCGCGGCCTGGGCGAAGGCGGGGGGGGGGGCGGGGAAGGAGAAGGACGGTGGCGGCGCGGGGCCGCTGGAGGGCTGCGCGCGCGGGGCCCAGGCGCTCGGGCTTTCCTCCTCCTCCTCCCCCGCCCTCGCCTTATCACGCCGAGCCGACGAGCCGAGCACTTTGTTTGTGTCCCATAATGCAGCGCGGGCGGCGGCGGCGGCGGCGCCTGAACAGAAAAGGGAGGGAATCGGTGCGAGGAAGGAGAGGTGGGAGAGAAAAAAGAGGAGGGGCTTTTCACGTTTGCCCGAAGGGGCGGAGCTTGGCCCTGCACTCAAGGAGGGGGCACGCGCGCGCTCTCGGCTGGCCCGCGAAGCGAGGGCGCGCCTCAGAGGGGCGGGGGGGGAGGCGGTTGTTTTCGCCCCCCGCCCCGAGGAGTTAAATCCCTGAAATGAACCAGGTTGGGGGGGGGGGAAGAAAAAAAATAAAAATAAAAGAGTTTTCCCCTTCCTTTTAAGGATGTATTACAACACGCGCGATACGGGGCAGAGCATATTTAGTCACTTATTCAGTTCCTCAAATTTGCCAGGGCCGCCCTCTCCAGCAGATTCTGGGTGGCTGTTAAAATCCAAAACATGGATAAAAACAGTCAAAACACAAAACGGGATCACACACCCCCAAACTCCCCCCCCCACCCAAATATATTAATTCTAGACCTGGGACAAAGTCCAGAAGGTGTTTTTCTCTCTCACGCACACAGACACTACACACAAACACACCCACACTCAAATCTTCTAGATTGGTTTGGTGCCCAGAGTCTCTTGAAGTTGGGCAGCTATAATATGTACATTTATAAAGGCACATATGCGTATTTTATATACATAGTTTATGGAGCCCCAGGAAAATCCTCATAGGCATGTGTGTGTGTGTGTATGTGTACTATATACACTACTATACAAACACCTATATATACTATATAGGTATATATAGTGTATAGCATAGTTTATATATAGTGTACTATATATAGTGTATATAGTGTGTGTATATATACACACATAAAAAAACCCCTGTACATTCCATAGGCCTATTACAAAGGAGAAGACTCCTGCGAGTCCCTTGGACTGCAAGGCGTTCAAACTGATCAGTCCTAGAAGAGATCAACCCCGACTGCTCTTTAGAAGGCCAGATCCTGAAGTTGAAACTCAAATACTTTGGCCACCTAATGAGAAGGAAGGACTCCCTGGAGAAGGGCCTAATGCTGGGAAAGATTGAGAGTGATAGAAGAAGGGGACGACAGAGAATGAGGTGGCTGGATGAGTCACTGAAGCAGTAGGTGTGAACTTAAATGGACTCCAGAAGATGGTAGAGGACAGGAAGACCTGGAGGAACGTTGTCCATGGGCTCGCGATGGGTCAGACACGACTTTGCAACTAACAACAAATTACAAAGATAATAAAGGGTGTGTTATACTATGCTTGTTGCTAGGTGTCCCAAGAAAAGAGAGAGAAAAACATCCATAGTCTATAGTTTGTGTTGGTGAGTCCAGCCCTGCAGATGCTTTTCACTTACTGCCTTCCAGAATCTCCTTCAATTCCTCTGGGCTTGGCTGGGACACTCCTTCCTTCAAATCTGAAAACTGAAATTGAAGCCACCATGAAATTGAAACGCACCCAGATTACCTGCTAATCCAGCAACAAGACTACATTATGAATAATAAACAAGGGATGTGAGTCCTTAACTGGGGACCCACCAATTATTTTGAGCCCTCCCCCCTTATGAAGTCTTGGGAGACAATGTTTGAACCATGGCAGGCCTCTGAACTACAATGGAAATAATTGTTTCATTTGACCTCATTTAATCCACTGTGTTGCTGGCAGAATGAGAGTGATCAGATTAAACTGTATGATGAACAACAAAGAGATAAAACCTAGTTGTTATTTAGTACTGTTGAGCAACCTCCAGGATTTTTGCAATGTGGGTACTCCACCTCAAATCTGGTGATTAATAGGGTTCATTCATTGATTTAAAGAATACTCTCATAGAGTCAGGTTTTTTACTAATGCATTCAAGACAATATTCAAAACAAAATAATTTGAATTGCTTTAACTTTGAAGGGGAGATTTTCAATCTAGGCATTTCCATTAGTATTTCTTGTGGCATACAGGTCTCTAAAAAGTAGCACATACTCATTTTATTTACAATCATGCATTTATATATTCCATCACATGCTCATTATACTGAGGTTTGCTTCTGGAAGAATGAGTCCCTTCTATTACTGCTGAATAGGAATATTTCACTTCCCCGTTGAAAGATTTTCATGATTTTGCTGGAAATCATCTAACCTGGTAGTTACACATACTTTACCCTGGCAGAAAAATATGAAGATATTTGAAAATTGTACAATAGTCATTGTGGAAAGATAATTGATATATGACTTACCAAAATTGTGATTTGAAAGTTTTTTCCCCTTTGTGATTCAAGGTAGTTCCTGGTCTTTTAATGTTATGTTTTCTCCCTATAATTCCTAATACCTATAAAATTATTTTGCTAGACTTTGTAACATACTAAGACATTCAAAAGAGGCAGCTACTCTTTCAGTTACTGCCTTTTAAAATTTCCCAACTGTCCTGCTTTTGATTAAATTCCTTCAGAATCCAGCCCCATTATGACAGTAGGCTCAGAATTATTATATCCCTTCATTCTATATTTAAAAGTAAGGTCTTTGATTAGAATTCATCTGTTGATATCCATGATGTTCTTTTCTTGACAATGTTGTTAAAGCTGTCTTTCTACTGTGGTTTAGGTTTTTTTTTATTTCTTAATCTAGTTTGCTATTCTGGGATTTTATCATGATCTTTTATACAAATACTTTTGTTTTGCTTTTTAAATCCAGTCATGATCTCCTTTTCATGTATAGCTGCTGAAATAAATTTTAGAAGGATTGTTTTAATTATTTGTCTTTTCTCCCATCATCATAACATGCAAATCTAAAATTAGGACCTATGATTATTGCGGTTACTAATATACCCATACTGTCCCAGATGTATTTATTCCAAATACAAAATAGCTGCTCTTTGACGAGAGACAGAGACTGACATCACAAGAAAAGCTTGAACAAAATACTGGAACTTCACCGCAAATATAAATAGTGTATGTTCTTTCTTTTATATAGAAAGAAAAAGAAAGAAAGGTTACTTATGTTGTATGTTGCTTTTTAACTGTTCTTTTGTTATGATGGAGAGCAAATGATTAAAGAGCCAACTCTTCAAAATGTAGCTCCAAAAGTATCTCAATCAAGTGGAGTAAAAGCGATTTATCAATAAGAGTGCAAAGTGTTCATATGCAGTTCTAATAATACCTAAGCAAAAATAAGTTCTATTCAACCAAGCAGAAATGCTTTTAATACATGTGTTATTTACAGCATCTCTCCGTTTGGTTTTGGATAAGATAGTGGAACTTTGTAGCTAATGAATGTATCTTTAAACTACAAGTAAAATAATCAAAAGGCAAGTTAGCAATTGATAGGACTAGCACTGATGATGTTACCTAGTTTGGGTAATGAAATGTCTGCAAGAAAACAAGCAAGCTCAGAGAGCACCAAGGACCCCTCAAGTTAGCACTTGTAAAATCTGTAAAATATCCCCATAGCTGCTCTGCCCTGCACTTGTTTTCTGGGTGAAGAGCATGTGCTAAGTGCTCTTTTATACTGAGAGCAGGGAATATTTTGCCTTCTAGATGTTGAACTATATTTTAGACCATCCTTCATCATTTGCAAGGCTGTCTGAAGTTACTGACTTCCTTTAGAAATATCTAAGGATGGTTAATTTGTTCATCTCTTGGAGGTGCAGCAGCAAAGGGTCTGCTTGTTGCTGCAGTTATTCTAGCTTCCTTTATCCCCATCCCAAAAATTCAAACAGGACAGCAGAACTGCAAGGTGAAGTCTAAATTATGCAATTTTCAGGCGCTGAAAGCCTGGATTTTATGTCGAAACTAGCATTTTCTCATTTGAAACCGCTTTCTAGATTAACGTCAAAGAAGTTTCAAACACTCCACTAAAAGCATTAACAAGCTGGTTTTGTTTGCATATGGACATGTGTATTAGGCCTGCAGCTGGATTAACTCAGCCCATTGTGACAGCTTGAATGCTTCCAAGTCAGTTTCATTGGCTCATTGATTCTGCACAGTTGAGAAGGATCAGCCAGTTCTGTGAACTGTCCCACTCATCTCTGCTACGTTTCTGGACTTGAATTCCTAGTTCTGTATTCTCATCCAATACTACTTCATTTGCTCAGAGTTTGGCAGTTGCTTACGGGTGAAGTCAATAAATGAGTATGTGTGGATTCCATTTTATATAGATCCAGGAGAAAGATATAGTTGTAGCTGCAATGAATGTTCTATGTAATTATTTACATGCCCCATTTCCTCTTAGACAGATGTACTGAATGATCTTTTAGTGGGAGCCAATTTAGAAGAATGGTGTCTGAGAACAAGTTGCAGTTAAAATTTGAGGAAGTTTATTGCTTTGTTGTGAAACAATTCTTGGGTACCGTGGAAAACAGGGTAGACTTTACAGCTGCCACTTTAACTAGAATCTAACATATCCTTTCTTACAGTGATTGGTTTTATGTAGTCGTACTGGGTTTTTCCTGCATGTATCCCTTATAAGAAATGTGTGTCTACTTTTATTGTTTCTTTCTCTCTCGATATTCAGCCAGCTAACCCCAAAATCATTGCTATCCTCTAAGTCAGAAGTCCCCAACCTTTCGGGCACCAGTGACTGGTGAAATGGAGAAAGATTTTTCTGAGGACCAGAGGGGGTGTGGTTTTGAATTCTGCCTGCATCTCAAGGATGGAGCTTTGCTTGTTTGTGTGGCCCGCTTGTTGGCATGCTGTGGACCGGTACTGGTCCACGAACCGGGGGTTGGGGACCCCTGTTCTAAGTCTAACTGACTATTAGACATCTTGGTCTAATAGCTTACTCTTCAGACTAAGTTCTCATCTTCTTTCTCACTGTTATACAGGTAACCCTCGATTTATGACCACAGTTGAGCCCAAAATTTATGTTGCTAAGTGAGACATTTGTTAAGTGAGCTTTGCCCCATTTTACGACCTTTCTTTTCCACCTTTGTTAAGTGAATCACTGCAGTCGTTAAGTTAGTCAGACAGCTGTTAAGTGACTCTGGCTTTCCCCATTGACTTTGCTTGTCAGAAGGTTGCAAAAGGGGATCACGTGACCCCGGGGGACGCTGCAACCGTCATAAA